AAATTAAAAAATATGCCCGTCAACAATTTCCTCCAGGCATTCATATTTGTGTAAATGAGAAAGGCTAGTGCAATGAACAAGAAATGATTTGGTAGACAAACAATGTATAGCTTGCTCAAAATATGTATAGATGTGAACGTTCACTCTTAGTATTAGATTCTTTCAGAGATCACATTACCGAACTAGTTAAAAAAAATTTTAGTAAAAATATGACTAATATGGCAGTGATACCTAGTAGTTTAACAAGTAAACTTTAACCATTAGATGTTATGATAAACTATTTCTTTAAAGCAAAGCTTTGTAATCTGTATCTTGGATAAATAGCTAATAAAGTACATGAGCTTACACCTTCTAAAAGAATTAAACAACTATCTTATTCTTTGATGGCAATGTAGGTAAGAAATGCGTGAGATGATGTTGATATTGATTTAATTAAAAATTTGTTTAGCTGTTGTGGAATTTCTAGTAATCAAGATGTTAATACAGATCAGCAATATGAAATAGAAACTGAAGATTATATTGATAAATTGGCAAATAATATTAAATTAATAGATCTTACTAACGAAGAACCTGTTTGAGTTAAAATGGAAGATATTAATAATATCTATAGTGAAGAAACTATGGTTAAAAATGATTGGGTATTAGTTTCATAAATTTACAATAGTTTTTTTTTATCTTATAGTTCTATATTTTTCTTTAGAATATTGGCAAAATTTTCAAAATGCTATCGTAAAAGCTTTACCGTTATGTATAACTAAAGTGAATTTTTTTACAATACGTAGTATAAGTATAACACAATATATGTATTATTAACCAAATATAGAATTAAATAAACTATGTATATTCGGGTATTTTAGATAGATCTTTTCTATAAATAGTAAAGGGTATTATACATAGGTGGATACTTTAGTCAGTACTGTACAGTACATAAATTTAATTAACTGTTTATTATCTTTTGAAGATATTTTTAGGTAAACAACATGTATTATAAACAAATAGTAAAAATTATAAAAAAAGTAACTAACTTTGTGATTATATTTTTTTAAATTTTATTTTTAATTACTATTAAAATTTCATATAAAGAATCTTCAAATACTAAAATCTGTAAAATGATATATTTTTTTTTTAACGTATTGGCAGCCTCGCCAGTATCTTTATTAGATCAAAGCTAATATAAAACATTATATACTATCTAAGTTACAAATCTGATATTACCCAGCTTTCTCTATAGATACCCAAGTACAGTCTGCCTCACTGGTTAAGGCTATTGCCTATACTAGAAAGCTGCATCAAGCTAGCCAGCAAAACCAAAATAAAATAGTTTCAAATCGAAAGAATTTTTAACTACATCAAACAAACAATTTTCCTTCTCTATTCTAAGATAATAATCTAAATCTAATTTTTTTCTAACAAG